CACATTTCCATCTTTTCCTGTGTACACTCTCTGAATTACTCCCAAAGGCCAATTATTTCTTTGCGTTGTATCATCAACGACAATAACTACATCTCCAACTTTGATGTTTTCAACTTTCCTGTGCCACTTGCCAACTTTATTCAGTGTAGGAAGGTACTCTTTAACCCATCTTCTCCAGAATATGTTCGCTAGGGCTTGTGATAGTTTCCACTGATTTCTCAAATGATGGATTTGATCTTCTCGAAACTTCCCTGGTAGTGGTGCTGCTCCATCGGATGAACTCAAGAGGAAATGGTTCGGTGTTAGGCTCTCTGGATCATCTGGGTCAGCAGAAACATAGGTCAATGGTCTACTGTTCACTATATTTTCAGCCTCCACAACTAATGTTTGCAGGACCTCCTCTTTTGGACTTCTTTCCTTGAGAGTAACTTTTAGTACGGTTTTTACAGATTTGACTAAACGTTCCCAGCTCCCCCCCATATGTGGACTGGCTGCTGGTATATATCGCCAAATGATATTCTTAGAGGTTAAAAATATGGAAAGTTGGTCTCTATTGAGCTCAATTCTGAAATATTCTGAAATTTATTACAGACTGGTGACAAATATCTATCACACTCTGCCTGGAACAGTCTGTATGTCGACTACTGATTCGAGATCGTCGCTCGTCCTGATCTAGAATCTCAGCTTCACGATAGGCTTTTTCTAATTCGATTAATTTCAATTTCTCTTGCAAGGCTTCATTCAACAAAACCTGCTTGGCTTTTTCGGCTTCCAACGTAACTTTCATACGTTGAAGATCGACACTTGCCTTAGAAGTATTTGAACACTTAGTACGTGTAGAATGTCTAGATGATGTATTCGTCCTATTTGGAATAGAATGTCGGGAAACAGATGAGCTGTTGTCGCCCATGACTTGAGCTTCGGAGATGATTCTACCATCAGGGATGTCACCTTCTGGTTTTTTGGCATTGTCATCCATATTATGTCTAGGTTCTCCAAAGTTTTTGGGCCACAAATAGTTCTCGTCAAGATTTCTATTTATTCCAGCTGTTTCTCTTTTCCTGGAGGAGTCGGTCATAAGTCAACTTTTGTCGATTCGTCGAAACTGCTGTCCACAGTGCTAGTTCGTCTTTTGAACGCGAAGGACCAAATGTAATAGACTCAGTATTTCTATTACTTCCAAAAATAAATGATTTTCCAAATTTTCTGACTTTTATATCTTTATTTATTTTATGTCACTTTTTCAACAACTCAACGCCTCCTTCTTCAATTCCAAATTATATACAAAGTATATCAAACTAATTCATTAAAACAATCTACAACAATACTGTTGATTCGATTAGACTATATTCTTGATTTGAACGAGCTGCTTCCGTGGAATAATCATGTATCTGGTTGATTCAACAAAAAATTGCTCAGTCCAACAAAAATAACTCAATCATAAATAATATGTCGATGCAACAAATCCTTTTTTTCCGTGTAGTTGAGTCTGCAATCAGGCGAGAAAATTTACAGTTTTTCGCCGTGGTGCATATTACATTTTTTCGCCAACCTCAAGCACTCATATTCACATTACGGTCCTATTCACATGTAAAATCTATCGGATATCGTGAATAATTAATTTGACAGCAGCAAATGACAGTTGTTGTCAACTCACTCTTCGCGCGGACCAGGGTTGCCATCAGTTCGATTTTTATTCCATCAGTAAATACCTTGTCAAAAATTAAGTAGGTTTCAAAAGATCGGTTTGAGATCTTTTTTGTTGCGTACGAATTTCAAGAAAGGATAATGAAAAACCTATGAAGTCAGAACATTATGTACTTTTATAGTAAACAGAGAAGAAACCCAATTCCAATAAATTAGAAACAAACAAAATAAACATTTTCATACAGGAATAATCATATATTCCTTATTCTCAATTCAAAAATACTCACAAATATCACAAAATACAGTTACATATAGGTACTTCTAAGATTTGAGTATATAAAAAACAGGAACGAATAGTAAAAATGAAAAACAAAAGTACAAAACTAATAAAACAATTAAATGTAAGAAACAAACTGTTATATCAGAGGTATGTAAAAAATTGGATAGCATGCTACAACAGAAGTTGGATGGAAGCAAAAACTGAATTCTGAGGTGGAAATAGATTTTGCTTAGGACTGAAATCTCATAGTATTGATATCGTTCAGTACCACGAGGAGAAGAATTTCCGTTTTTTTGGATAACCAATATCGTTGTATCATTGTTCAACCAGTACTGTTGTAGTGACCTTTGAACACTGGAAAAAACTCATTAATTCCCCAATGCCATGAAAATAATGTAATCTTGATTCACAATCTATACAAAATATAATGTTGTACCACTATGTTAAAAGTATAAGTACTTATACAGTGTGTCCGGCTTTCCATGAATACACCCTGATATCTCTTTTATTAATAGTGCGATTCTCTTGAGATTTTTGTAGTCATTGTGTGTTAGAATAAGGAAGTATTTAGCAGAATGAACAGTTTCATTCACCATAGGCGTGTGATGTTGAGGGGGTACAAAAAGTTCTTTATTTGGTAAAATGATACAAGGACTTATTTTAAATAACTTATTTCATCAGATTCATAATCAGCATCCCCAAAAACCCCCAATTCATATTTTCAAGATCCCAAGAGCTTAAATAAAATATTTAAAAATCACGCTTTTCATGACTACACCCTTTAATCTCAGTTATTAACGATGCGATTTTCCTGAAATTTTGATGTTAAATAAATGACATACAATCACCATCACAGTTTTGAGAAAAACGCATCATTAATAACTGAGATTATTTTCGAGCGTAGAATCTGATAAAAACAGTTACCTACCTACCTGAAATTTCAAGAGAATAGCATCATTAATTACTGAGCTATCAGGGTGTATTCATGAAAAGTGGGACACACTGTATATTATGACAAAAACAGCAAGGAATTAGTACTTTTTTATCACCGAGAAATAAATGACCAGTTATCTTGTGTTTGCTGCTTTTTTGCAGTTTTCAGGTCATATGATTTCAAACAGAATTAATCTGAGCATAGATTGAACAAACCATCAATCTATGATGATTTGAGGTAATGACTCATCGTTTTGATTTCCGAAGTACACACTCGTGTGTTGAAATAATCAGGAATGTCTTTTGAAATCTCCATTTACTGATTTTCATTTTTTGGCGGATGAGCCTGGTGCATCCTTCAAAGTCAAGTTCTTTCATCAGAATATGAAAATGAACTTGATTGAATGCAATATACAGGGTGTTTCGAAATTCGACCGACAACGCTTGACAGGTGATAGCCCTCGTGATTTCATAATCACTGAGATAGGGACAGACGGTCTTGAAGTGTTCAGTTCTCGAGATACAGGGCGTTGAAGTTAAGAAATGTAAATAGTTTTTTCGCAATATCTCAAGAATAATTTAATATAATGCATTCAAATTCGGTATATGGTTTCATCTTTCACTGATTAATTTCTTGACCAGAAAGACATTCCGAGAATTTTATCCAGAGATGCGCTACAGAAAGTTGTGATAACTTTTCCTCCCATATTTTCTACGCCACTGATGAAATTTCAATTATTTCCAATTTCTCGAATTGTTTGTTCAGTTATGTTGAAAAAATGCATCACCTTCAACTGAGCTAAAATGAACAGTTATCGGGATATTTGACCCAAAATAGAAGTATGCATAGTAATTTTTCATCTTCCTCGGTAGTAAAAAATTACGAAAATTTTTGTTTTCTCTTCATGTGTGGAATAACTATTTCTGTTCAGCTATGGAATGAGATCTGAATAGTATCTAATCTACTCAACACCAGAAAAATATTTTTGCAATTTTCTACTACTGAAAATGATGAAATATTACTATGCAATCTTCTATTTTGGGTCGAATATCTCGAAAACTGTTTATTTCAGCTCAGTTGAAGGTGATGCATTTTCTGAACAAAATTGAACAATGAATTCGAGGAATTGGAAATAATCGAAATTCAATCAGTGGCGTAGAAAATATGGAAGGAAAAAATGCCACAACCCCCTGTAGGGCACCACTGGACAAAATGTCCGGAATGGCTTCCAGGTCAAAAAATGGCCCATTCAAAGATGAAACCATATACCGAAGTTGAATGCATTATATTCAATTATTCTTGAGATATTGCGAAACAACTATTTTCCTTTCTCAACTTCAACGCCCTGTATCTCGAGAACTGAACACTTGAAGACCGAATGTTCCTATCTCAATGATTATGAAATCACGAGGGCTATCACCTGTCAAACGTTGTCGGTCGAATTTCGAAACACCCTGTATATGACAGTTAAACTATACATCAAAATCGCAAAGCTTGATGTAGTTCTGATTTTTCTAGATGTTGTTAGGGCCAGGTATAATGTGAAACAAGTTTGCGGCTTCGAAAAACCTGTGCTCGCTTCGTAATTCGTTAAAAAAGGCCAAATATTTGGACTTCTTTCAGATGTGGCGTTATTACTCATAGAATAGACTATATAGGCGTTTTTGGGTAAAATATGTGGTTACAGGTTTTGAAGTGAAATGAATTTGCAACAAGTTCAGTTGAATTGCAACTCTGATAGTTTCAGACAGTAATTGGAAGATTTGCAAATTTTTGTACAAAATATAAATTTCAAGTTTTGGTCTCGTTTCGGGCCGAATATCGACATAACCACTCAACTTACGGAAAGAGCCCTGGTAATGAACTTGTAGCAAATATTTATGCTTCCATTTGAACATAGGAGGAAGTCTCTAGATCTGATAGTTACCTTTGCAAATTTTTGTACAAAATATATAAATTTCAAGTTTTGGTCTCGTTTCGGGCCGAATATCGACATAACCACTCAACTTACGGAAAGAGCCCTGGAAATGAACTTGTAGCAAATATTTATGCTTCCATTTGAACATAGAAGGAAGTCTCTAGATCTGATAGTTACCTTGAAATTGCAAAAAAAACTAACATCGGAAAATTGGATTTTCGAATATTACTTGATGGTTGACGTTTGTACGATAGTCTGTGTGGTGTGTCTGAATAACTTGCAGAACATTCATCATCAACAACATAATCACAGCATTCAATGATCCATAATCCATGAGAAAATAAATGAAGAATTCTTTATATTCGAAATTCCAACAGTTCTATGCTCTTTTCCTACCCCCAACATATGATGGCATCACAGCACAATAGTCCGTCTGTTTGTATTCTCTTATCTATGTTTTTAATTATCCTTTTCATCACTAGGATTTTACAAGGTGATAATCGTTGAGCTCCTAATTACTATAATTCTATTATTAGGATGTTGTTTTGGGAGAGAAAATAGATAGGGTACGACAAACAGATCCGAATTTACATTTTGATACCCAATACCAAATTACTCTTCAACGATTTTATTTGTTATATGTGATATCGGGAATAATGTTTATCAGTATTAGTTTGAAAATTGGTACACAGATTGTACCCAATTTTCGATACTTGCATGCATTCAGTACGGTCATACTTTTTGTGGAAGACGAAGAAGCCGTCTTCTTAGTTCCTATTTGAGATATAGAGTGGAATTCGTGAATTCCCAATTCTTACTGGTCAAGCACCTCTGTATCTTGATAACTTTCCGACTGACTCAAGTCTTCCCACAAATTTGCATAAAACGCAAGCTTGCTCCGAAGGCTAAGTCAATGTCCGATGTACCTTCGCGTATATTGTACTCCAGTCTGAGTGAAAAACACACAAGCTTTCCCTAACAGCTCAGTCCATATGCCCGATATTCACTCGCGTATACTGTTCTTCTATCTGACAGAAAATAAAGACACAAGCGTTCCTCAACGGCTCAGTTGAATGGATCATGTGCCGTACCTTCACGTATATTGTTCTTCTGCCTAAGAGAAGAAAAATACAGGAACTTTCCCCCACGGCTCAGTCAAATTTCTCATTTGTACGGTGTACCTTCGCGTATATTGTACTTCAATCTAAGAGAACATAGATACACAAGCTGCCCACAACGGCTTAGTCAAATTCCTCATAACTCTGATGTACCTTTGCGTCATAATTTCTTCGACACTTTCTTGACATGCGTTACCCAGAGAAACTACGCAAATCGGGTCGTAAGGTGTTCTACAGGGATGCACTGATGCCTTTACGCTGCCGCTGCCAAAGTACAGCCAGTCGTGTATCCGCTGCAGACACGGACACTTCCAGGGGTTCTCATCCATGATGATTTCTCTAACATATAACTTCCTCAACAGCTTGCTTGACAAGTAGTTGAGATGGTTGTTATTGATATACAGACTCTTGATATATATTCTGTTGGGGAACGCTCGTTCATCGAGCACTGTAAGCCCGTTGTGTTCCAAGTTTAGACCAGTTAGGTTTTTCAAGTTTTGGAAGGCACCAGGTTTGATGGTGGCGATCTTGTTTCCTCCGAATGTGATGACACTGAGCTTCGGCAGCGATACAAACGCTCTTCTCGGGATAGTGGAGAATTTGTTGCCGAAGAAACTGATATCCTGTAGGTTGGGGCAGTTTTGGAACCATTCGCGGTTCCAGTATGTGAGCTTATTGCCGCCCAAGTCGATCTCTTCGAGCGAGATCATATCGGAAAAGGCTCCACTCGCAATGAAGTAGATCTTGTTGTACGATAGCATCAGTTTTGTGATGGTGGGCACTAAGTTGAAAACGTCTGTAACAAGAACGAATTTTTGAGAGAAGTGCTCTATCAGAATTTCACACTTTTTTTTTAAATCGAAAATTCTGTCTGTTTTTTTCTTCATGTTACATGTTCATTGTGATTGACACTATAATAATTTATGAATATAGAACGCGAAGTATGATTGATTGCCCTAGGGCCTCCTTCAGCACCTTGCGCAAAATAGGTTTTTTAATCCAGTTCAACAATATTTAGAATATTAAGGTAAGTATATTATTCATTTTAGAACGATTTTTGTGACGTTTGTAGAAAAAACAATGTATGCAACTCGAGCGTGAAATACTTTGGAGATCTCGACTAGCAAAAAAATTTCAGTTCTCACCAAAGTAGCATTTTGCCCACTACATACAGACGTTTTTTTATCTCTAGGAGCGCACAAAAGGAAATTCCTATTTTGTTCGAAGAACATCGTACATTGTTAACAATATGCGAAATGACACTATTGTGAACTATATAATATTTTTGTATTATAATTTGGCGTTTCAGTTGTAGGAAGAACTGTACGCCTTTTTGAATAGTCTTTTTGTGAGGATATTTGATAGTTTTGTGACAATGCCGAACACTATGATGGTTGAATCGTATATTGTAGAATGAATGAAAATCCGAAGTGCTGTTTACACGAATGCCAACAGTTTTGCCGATAAGATTGAGATTTGCGACTGTTCACTCTGAAGATTCAAGAATAACTGATTATAATAAATTGTTTATTGAGCTAGAAAGGTAGGTCTCTATAAGCTTTAACAAGAATAATAATTAGGGCTCGAATTAGGGTATTACCATCCTATAGCCAGATGGTCAGAAAAGATCAATGTTGTGAATACCTATGCAATAAGTATAGTTGGCATTTCGTAAAGAGGTAGAAAAAACCCTTATCGGGAAAAACCCAACACTTCGGATGATGAAATATGTACAGAGTATAAAATTTAATATGGTATACAGGAAAGTTAATTGAATATACAAATATATACATGAGTGGGAAAATTCCCCACAGCACCCCCTGCCAGTGATGAAGCTTATTGGAATAGCTTCAGGAAGCAATGCATTAGAGTCTGATATTCATGGTACAGGTTGCACGGCACCTTCTCGTTATGGCTCTGGACAAGCTGTCGTATAGCTGTAGCAGGTAACTGGACGTATGCACTGGCTCGCAGGTGAGTCGTACCTGCCAAACTATCTGAAAGTTTGTACAGGTGTGTTGACGGTCTGCTTGAAACAGCGGATACAGTGCAGGCTCATGTCGAGGCTGCTACTGCACGATGTGCCGTGGTTTGAAGGAGAGCTGAATGCCTAATTGAACAAGCGAATCCGCTGCAGGCTTCTCATGTCGAGACTGCTGGAAGATGTGCGCTGTGGTTCATAGGTGAGCTGTATACCTGATTGTACTGAACAGTCCAGTGGATGGCTCCTGCTACATGTGCTGCTTGGTGGAGCTAGAGATGCACAGGGGTGGCTTCGTGGCGTGGTGAATTTCCATACCTCAGTTGTTCAGGCACCCTATTACTCGTTGCGAGCCGTTGGGCCTTGCTGGAGATCATTATGGTAGATCATCTCAGCGAGCTGCGAGTTGAGCATGTTACCTCACATCCTATGTGGCGTCGATGTACGCAGCGAAGGCAACTGCTGTGGACGGCGTGATGAGAGGGCTGAGCTGAGCAATTTTCACTCGTGAGCGGCATGCTGAGTGCGTCAAATCGGCTAGAGCGGTGAGCTAAATCGCCGGCGGCAACGTTAGCGGCGTAGGCGCGTCAGCGCCCATATCTAACAGGGGTTATTCAGCATCATGATTGAAATGGAGTACGCGTCACTCGAAACAAAATATCACTCACAAAAGATCACGTCGGGGTCACCACTTTGGCGTTTCAGTTGTAGGAAGAACTGTACGCCTTTTTGAATAGTCTTTTTGTGAGGATATTTGATAGTTTTGTGACAATGCCGAACACTATGATGGTTGAATCGTATATTGTAGAATGAACGAAAATCCGAAGTGCTGTTTACACGAATGCCAACAGTTTTGCCGATAAGATTGAGATTTGCGACTGTTCACTCTGAAGATTCAAGGATAACTGATTATAATAAATTGTTTATTGAGCTAGAAAGGTAGGTCTCTATAAGCTTTAACAAGAATAATAATTAGGGCTCGAATTAGGGTATTACCATCCTATAGCCAGATGGTCAGAAAAGATCAATGTTGTGAATACCTATGCAATAAGTATAGTTGGCATTTCGTAAAGAGGTAGAAAAAACCCTTATCGGGAAAAACTCAACACTTCGGATGATGAAATATGTACAGAGTATAAAATTTAATATGGTATACAGGAAAGTTAATTGAATATACAAATATATACATGAGTGGGAAAATTCCCCACAATAATCTTTATGGTTCTCAATAATCGAGCAAACATCCAAGGAATCATTCATTTTTGGAAATTTAACAATAATTAAAGCTTTTCAAGTCAGTTCAACCCCATTTTTAACATTAAGCTAAGCATATTTTTGAAACTATATTTTCTAACGTTGGTAGGAAAACTGTTGCTTGCTACATTGAAGAACAACTCTTGTCGTATAGGGCCTTCAAATTTGTTTACATGGTCCTTCAGGGATGTCCTAGTGTGGAGTGAAATCATAGCTCTCCAGCTTTGATAGAAAAAAGTAGCGATTTTTGGCCCCATCCGAAAGCGAATATCTAGGAAACTTTGAAGATAGATAGAGAAGAACTGCTTCAGATTCTTGTTCAGTACATCCTCTTTATAAGTTTTCAGTCCATTCTGACGCCTTGAAGTTTATATTGAAGAAGTTGGTTACTTTTGAGACCCAAAAATCAACTTCGTCGTAGGGCCTTCAAATTTGGTATACAGGGTCCTCAAGGGATGCCCTAGTGTGGAGTTGAAACCTTTAGAATGAAAGATTTGCAATTCTGAACCCACTCTCCACTCTCTTTTCTTTGTGATACCTTCAATATGAAATGAATTGATGATCAGGACCAAGTTCAAATAATAAGTTGAAGATGGTTTTACAAATATGAAATTTCGTATAGAGTGACCGATATCAGAATGTTATTAAATCTCATCAAAAGTTGCTATGTAGAAGTATTTCCAGTTCTTCTGCATCCATAACGTAGAGAGAGGAAGGTTTCCTAAAATATTGTTCAAACAATTTGTGGCTATTTGAGATAGTATAATAAGCATAAATATATACAGGGTGGGTCACGGTGGATGGTCTATTAGACGTATCTGGAGAACGAAAAGACAGAACATTCTTAAAATTGGTATGTTTTGATAATTGAACATTTTCTATTCGTCTAAAATGTTTTCATCAATACAGTGTTGCCACTTCTATCAGAAACAACTTACAACTTCGTTATTTCAAATGGAGCACCCTGTATTTTATTGCATTTTTAGATTCTTCCTAAAGAGCTGATTTTATCAATGCATCACACTTGGGGTCTAGAAGGAATGATTACAGAGATAAAAGGGGTCCAAAATCGAGATTTTTCAATTTTGGGATTTTTTGTGTCGAAACTATTCATTATCGATCAAAATGGTTTACATGTCCCTATCTCAACTTTCGATTCACTATCTACTGACATTTAATTGAAACAGATACATGGTGATCAGAATTCTGAATCTTGAAGCACCCTGTATTTTCTCCAATTAAATTCCAGTAGATAGTGAATCAAAAGTTAAGATAGGGACATGTAGGCCGTTTCGATCAATAATGAATAGTTTCGACACAAAAAAATCCGGAACTTGAAAAATCTAGATTTTGAATACCCTATATCTCTGTAATCATATCTGCTAGACTCCAAGTGTGATACATTGATGAAATCTGCTCCTCAGGAAGAATCTGAAAATGCAATAAAATACAGGGTGCTCCGTTTAAAATAACGAAGTTGCTAGTTGTTTCTGATAGAAGTGGCAACACTGTATCGATGAAAACATTTTAGACGAATAGATAATCTTTAATTATCAAAGCATCCCAATTTTCAGAATGTTCTGTCTTTTCGTTCTCCATCAGATACTTCTAATAGGCCATCCACCGTGACCCACCCTGTATACCTTTCGGTATCCCCTCGAGGTTGGTATGAATCATAAATACGAAATTTGAGACTTGGCACGTTCTCGGAGGCTTGCGGCTCGAGAATCTTCAGATTGTTATTCCGTATATCTATTGATTCCAGTTTTGACAGATTCCATATTAAATCCTTGCCCAGTCGCGTTATTCCATACTGTGGACGTGGACCTCCTTGATCTCCTTACCTTCGAACTCCTTCGGTTCGAGGCAGCCGTTCACCACGAATATTTTTCATTAAGTGTCGCACTTACGTTCGTGCTTTTGATGGAATCACATCCTTCGGTCTTGATGGTCGAAAGCTGCGTCAAAAAAATGATGGTCGACCAGCAAACACGAATCATGTCTGGAAGTTAGAGCAGCTGTTTGATAACGAACTGGAACTGACCAGGGATGTTGTTTTTGTAGTCTATATTTTGTTTGTCAAGATCACAAGGTCGAGTGGAAAGTCCTTCATTTTTCATGGGGAGAACCTCGTGATCAGATGATTTGTTCCTGTCACTGTAAAATTTCAACATAACAAACCTGAAGGTGAAATATAATCGATAGTCACTGACACCTTGTTTTCGAAATATTCGAGAATTAAGGAGCAGATTGAAAAATATAAGTTGTCACTTTGGTCCAGCCGCTACTCAGATATCAAAATGGCACAAGCTTTTCCCAATAACTCAGTTACATCTGTCATATGCCGGATGTACCCTCGCGTATATTGTCTTTCAGTCTCAGAGAAGATTTCCCCAACGAATCAGTCAAATTTCTCATATGTCCGATGTACCTTTGCGCAGTTCGCGCATTTTGTACTCCAGTCTTAGATAACAAAAAGGCACAAGCTTTTTCCAACGGCTCAGTCAAATTTCTCATTCGTCCGGTGTACTTTCGCGTAAATTGCACGTCAGTCGTAGAAAACAAAAGAAATATGCTTTCTTCAACGGCTCAGTCAAATTTCTCACATGCCCGATTCACCTTCGTTCATAATATTGTATTTCCTCCAAAGCCTAAGTCAAACTCATATGTCCGATCTACTTTTGCGTATATTGTACTTCATTCCGAGAACAAAACACACAAGCTTTCCCCAATGGCTCAGTAAAATTTTATATATGCACGGTGTACATTCGCGTATACTGTACTCCTGTCTGAGAGAAAAAAAAGACACTAGCTTTTTTCAACGGCTCAGTCAAATTTCTCATATGCTCGATTTACCTTCGCGTATATTGTACTTCTGTCTAAGAAAACAAGAAGACACAAGATTTCTCCCAACGGCTCAGTCAAATATCTCATATTCCCGCTGTACATACATACCTTCAGTCGGAGAAAATCAAAAGGCACAAGCTTTTCCTAGCGGCTGAGTCACATTCCTCATATGTCGCGTATATTATTGTACTTCAATCTGAGAAAACAAAATTAACAAGCTATCCCCTACAACTCACTACTCAGGCATATTTCTCATATGCCTGATTAATGTATTGCATCCCAAGAGAACCGAAGAACACAAGCTTTCTCCAAAGGCTGAGTCAAACTCATATGTCCGATGTACCTTCACCTGAATTGTACTTTAGTCTGAGAGAACAAAACACACAAGTTTTCCCCAACAGCTCAGTCAAATTTCCCATTTGCTCGATGTAAATTCGCGTAAATAATAGTTCATTCTGAGAACAAAACACACAAGCTTTCCCCAACGGCTCAGTCAAATTTTTCATATGCACGGTGTACATTCGCGTATACTGTACTCATGTCTGAGAAAAGAAGAAGACGCAAGCTTATTCCAACGGCTCAGTCAAATTTCTCATGTGCCCGATGTACCCCCGCCTATCAGTCTAAGAGAACAAAAATACACAAGCTTCCCCCAACGGCTCAGTCAAATTTCTCAAAACTCCGATGAACCTTCGCGTCATCTCTTCTTCGACACGTTCTTGGCACGCCTTTTCTGGAGAAACTACGCAAATCGGGTCGTAAGGTGTTCTACAGTGGTGCACCGATGGCCGTACACTGCCGCTACTGAAGTACAGCCAGTCGTGTATCCGCTGCAGACACGGACACTTCCAGGGGTTCTCATCCATGATGATTTCTCTGACAGATAACTTCCTCAGCAGCTGGCCCGGCAAGTAGTTGAGATGGTTGTTATTGATATACAGACTCTTGATATATATTCTGTTGGGGAACGCTCGTTCATCGAGCATTGTGAGCCCGTTGCGTTCCAAGTTTAGATAAGTTAGGCTTTCCAAGTTTTGGAAGGCATCTGGTTCGATGGTAGCGATCTTGTTTCCTCCGAATGTGATGACACTGAGCTTTGGCAGCGATACAAACGCTCTTCTCGGGATAGTAGAGAATTTGTTGCCGAAGAAACTGATATCCTGTAGATTGGGGCAGTTCTGGAACCATTCTCTGTTAAAGTATGTAAGCGTATTGCCGTCCAAGTCGATCTGTTGGAGCGAGATCATATTGGAAAAGGCTCCACTCGCAATGAAGTAGATCTTGTTGTACGATAGCATCAGGTTTGTGATGGTGGGCACTAAGTTGAAAACGTCTGTAACAAGAACGTATTTTTGAAAGAAGTGGTCTATCAGAATGTTACACTTTCTTTGAAAATCGAAAATTATCTTTGTTTTTTGTTACATGTTACAGAAAAATCATTGTGATTGACACTATAATTATTCATGTATATATAACGCAAAGTGATTGATTTCCCTAGGGCCGCCTTCAGCATTTTGCGCAGAACGGTGTGCGAAGTAAAACAGTGCGCGAAATACATACTTCGCGCACTTCACGTGAACTATATGGGATTTTTGTATTTTAACCTTTATGGTCCTCAATCAAACTTAAATCCAATGAATCATTAATTTTCTACACGTTTAACAATAATTAAGGTTTTTTAAGACAGTTCAACAATATTTGGAATATTAAGGTAAACAAATAAATCATTTTAGAATGATTTTTGTGACATTTGTTGAAAAAAAAAGTATGCAACTCGTACGTGAAATACTCTGGTGATCTCGAATATAAAAAAATCAGTTCTCGATCACCAAAGTAGCAATTCGCGCACTACATACAGAAATATTTTTTTTATCTCTAGGAGCGAACGAAAGGAGATTCCTATTATGTTGGAAGAACATCGTGCATTGTTAACAATATGCGAAGTGACACTATAATTCAGTTTCGTACGTTAGCACGACACCGTGCGAGAAGTTATTTTGCGAAATACATATTATTTAGCGCATTGCATGTGAACTATATAACAAATTGCGAAGTGACACTTTTTTTTAGTTTCCTACGTTACCATGATACCTTGCACAAAACATTGCGCGAAGTGAAACAGTGCGCGAAGTACCTACTTCGTGCATTGTTATGTAAAATATATGAGATATTTATATTTGAACTTAATGATCCTCAATCGAGCGAACATCCACGACATCATTTATTTCTGAATGTTCAACAATAACTCTGTTTTATCTCTTGAAGCGCACGAAAGGAAATTCCAATTATGTTCGTGGAACACCGTGCGTACCTAGGGAAGATAGGGGGAGGCCTTTTAAGCCAGTTCAACACTTTTTTTATATCAAAGCTGAGCATATTTTTACTTAAGAACTATATTTTTTTACGTTTGTAGAAAAAATGTTGTTTGCAACTCGAGCGCGAATTACTTTGGTCATCTCGACTATTTTTTTAACGCGGCGTAGCCAAAGAAGCATTTCGAGCTCTAGATACAAAAATAACTATTGTATCATGATATTTATAGTTCTTAATAATCGAGCAAACATTCGAGAAATCATTCATTTTCAAATGTTTAACATCAATTAAGGCTTTTTAAGCCAGTTCAACACTATTTTTTATATTAAGCTAAGGATATTTTTAAAGTCAATAGGAGGAGGTTATTGAACATAGCCCTAGTGCAAAGGATAGACAGCACTTGGTAGAGAACCAAACAACAAATAAACGGAGTCAACAAACAGAAGCCAGCCGCACATTTGTGATTTCGGTCAGCAGACCCTTAGGTTCCAGGGAAACAGCTAACGTCACCACGGAGGCAGCTCGTGTCCCGGACGCGATTTTACTAAATATACTGTACGCTAGCCTAGCACATACCACGCCCACCGTTATATCTCATCTTCAAAGTACTTTACTTAGGCAAAACTCAGGAACTATTTATCCTCAACGAACTAACCTATCTCTGATTGCAATATTTTTGAGGAAGGAAAACCGAATGGAGTGTAGAAACACATTGATTAATAATATATTTCAAAAGTTGAGTTCTTCAACAAAATTGAATAAAATGAGACTGTTTATCCTAAACGCACTAACCTATTTGACTTCAAATATTTTATGAAAAAGGAAAACCAGAATGAAGTAAGAAAACAATAAAGTTGCAAAAAAAAGTTCAAGTTCACAGCGAATCGAACCATGGACCTTCAGATTGAAAGTCGACAGCGCTAACCAGTAGAACATTTGGGTGTATGTATTTTCTGCGTACAAGAGATTGACAACGAGAGAGCTTCAGTCGAATTCGTTTCAAAATCATAAAAAGTGTATTCTTGCGTTGGAGCACAGTATATTTAGTGCGATGTGCTGACTCCGAGTATATCGGTAATGTTTGGAGATATGACGTATTATGGTGGGCGTGGTTTGTGCTAGCGTGCAGTATATTTAGTAAAATCGCGTCCCGGACTGCAAAAAATAAGATGCAAATATTATCGAGGGAACTGTGAAGTGACTAGGAGGAGATTATTGGACATAGCCCTCAGATGTCTACCAAGTGCCGCCCATCCTTTGCACTTTCTTTTCACCGTACTGATGATGGCGGAAAGCCCGAAACGTGTGTATGCGGTTATCTCTTTATGCGGGCTATGTCCAATTACCTCCTCGTAGTAATTTCACAGCCCCCTCAATAATATTTGCATGATAATTTCACAACTATATTTTCTGACATAGGTAGAAGAAATGTTTTTTGCTATACATTCAGAACCAACTCTTGTCGTATAGGACCTTCAAATATGTTTTACATGGTTATTCAGTAATGTCCTAGCGTGGAGTAAAATCATAGCTCTCTAGCTTTGATAGAAAAAAAGTTGCGATTTTTGACTCCATTCGGATTCGAGAACCTAGGAAACTTTGAAGATAGGGAAGAAGTTTATATTGAAAAAGTTCAAACCTTAGTTCTTCTCGAGACCCAAGAATCAACTTTGTCTTACGGCCTTCGGATTTGGTATACAGGGTCCTCAAGGAATGCCCTAGTGTTGAGTTGAAACCTTCAGAATGAGAAAGTTGCAATTCTGGACCCACTCTCCATTCCTTTTTTTATGTTTGGTTCCCACGGAAAGGGATATCCTGTAATGTTCAGAGAACATCGTGAGAACCAAGGGAAATAAGGTAGGAATTCGTGTTCTTTTTGAATCTCTGGATGTTATATGCCTCGGGGAACACCTCCCTTGATAATGTGTTCCAGGGCCTCGCAGTTCGTTAAATCCCATCAGAAGTTGCTATGTAGAAGTATTTCCAGTTTTTCTGTATCTATAACGCAAAAAATTGAGGTTTCCTAGAATATTTTCAAAACAATTTGTGGCTTATATATACCATTCGGTATCTCTTCGAGTTTGGTATATATCATAAATGCACTCTCCTTTCCTTGTGATACCTTCAATATGAAATGAATTGATGATAGGGACCAAGTTTGAATAATGAGTTGAAGATAGTTTTACAAATACGAAATTTTGTATAGATCAGAATGTTAAATCTCATCAAAAGTTGCTATGTAGAAGTATTTCCAGTTTTTCTGTATCCATGACGTAGAAAAAGGAAGGTTTCCTATGAATATTTTTTTAACAATTTGTGGCTATATTTGAGATAGTATAATAAGTATATCGGTATCTCCCCGAGGAAGGTATATGTCATAAATACAAATTTGCGAATTGGCACACTCTTGAAGGCTTGCGGCTCGAGAATATCCAGATTATTATTCCGTATATCTATTGATTCCAGTTTCGGCAGATTCCTTATTGAAACCTTGCCCAGTTGCGTTATTCCACTGTGGACGTGGACCTCCTTGATTTTCTTACCTTCGAACTCCGGTTCGAGGCACCCATTCATCACGTAATATCTATTGATTCCAGTTTCTGCAGATTCCTTATTGAATCCTTGCCCAGTTGCGTTATTCCACTGTGGACGTGGACCTCCTTGATTTTCTTACCTTCGAACTCCGGTTCGAGGCACCCATTCATCACGTAATATCTATTGATTCCAGTTTCTGCAGATTCCTTATTGAATCCTTGCCCAGTTGCGTTATTCCACTGTGGACGTGGACCTCCTTGATTTTCTTACCTTCGAACTCCGGTTCGAGGCACCCATTCATCACGTAAAACGAGTATTTTTCATTAACTGTCGCACTTACGTTCGTGATTTTGAGGGAGTCACATCCATCGGTCTTGATGGTCGAAAGCTGCGTTAAACCAATTATAGTCGACCAGCAAACACGAATCATGTCTGGAAGTTAGAGCAGCTGTTTGATAACTAACTGGAACTGGCCAGGGATGTTGTTTTTGTAGTCTATATTTTGTTGTCGAGATCACAAGATCGAGTAGAAAGTCCTGCATTTTTCATGGGGAGAACCTCGTGATATTATCAGATGATTTTTCCCAGAATGTCACCCAAAACTCAATCGATAGTCACTGACACCTTGTTTGTGAAATATTCGAGAAATATGGAGCAGATTGAAAAATATCAGTTCTCACTTTGGTCTAGCCGCTACTCAGATATCAAAATGGCACAAGCTTTCCCCAACGACTCAGTTGAATTGGTCATATGCCCGTGTCCCTCGCGAGTATTGCACTTCAGTCTAAGAGAACAAAAAGGCACAAGCTTTTCCCAACGGCTCAATCAAATTTCTCATATGCCCGATACACCTTCGTTCATATTGTATTTCAGTCTAAGAGGACACAAGCTTCCTCCAAAGGCTAAGTGAAACTCATATATCCGATGTACCTTCGCGTATATTGTACTTCAGTCTGAGAACAAAACACACAAGCTTTACCATAACGCCTCAGTCCAATTTCCCATATGCCCTACATACATTCGCGTAAACTGTACTTCTGTCTAAGAAGAGAAAAAGACCCAAGCTTTTCCCAACGGCTCAGTCAAAATTCTCATATGTCCGATCAACTAACGAGTAATTTGTACATCTGTCTAGGAAAATAAATAGACACAACCTCTCCCCAACGACTCAGTCAAATTTCTCATAACCCTGATGTACCTTCGCGTCATCTCTTCTTCGACATCTTCTTGGCACGCCTTATCTGGAGAAACTACGCAAATCGGATCGTAAGGTGTCCTGCAGTTGTGCACCGATGGCCGTACGCTGCCGCTGCCAAAGTACAGCCAGTCGTGTATCCGCTGCAGACACGGACACTTCCAGGGGTTCTCATCCATGATAATTTCTCCGACAGATAACTTCCTCAGCAGCTTGACCGGCAAGTAGTTGAGATGGTTGTTATTGATATACAGACTCTCGATGAATATTTTGTTGGGGAACGCTCGTTCATCAAGCACTGTGAGCCCGTTGCGTTCCAAGTTTAGATAGGTTAGGTTTTTCAAGTTTCGGAAGGCACCTGGTTCGATGGTGGCGATCTTGTTTCCTCCGAATGCGATGACAGTGAGCTTCGGCAGCGATGCAAACGCTCTTCTTGGGATAGTATAGATGTTGTTGCCGTAAAAATTGATATCCTGTAGATTGGGGCAGTTCTGGAACCATTCCCTGTTCCAGTATGTGAGCTTATTGCCAAACAAGTCGATCTGTTCGAGCGACTCCATATTTGAAAAGGCTCCAGTCGCGATGAAGTCAATCTTGTTAGAGGATAGCATCAGGTTCGTGATGGTGGGAACTAAGTTGAAAACGTCTGTAACAAGAACGTATTTTCGAAAGAATTCAGTCCAGCAGCTCCTAAATTATATCAGAGGTGGTTTCGTATATAATTAGTCAAATTTGATGGTGAAGATCTTGCTTTGTGGCCGCTATTCCTTGAAAATTCCATAAATTTTGTTCACTCAAAGAACTAGAACTTTCAGAAGCCGAAAAATTTAAATATCTATCAGATAGCTTGTCTGGAAAGGCACTGAAAACATGCAACTCGATAGAAGCGCACCCTCTTTTATGTAACTCGGGAATTGTTATAGAAGGAAATTTCGACGACAAAAAGTATTTGTTCAGCTTATATCTCGATAGGATTGTGAATTGTTAAAGTGTAAGCAGTAATCATCCCTCGAGTTTGTGAACCTTTTTGGAAAGATTCGACACCATTATATCAGCTCTGAAGAAACTGAATTTGAACGACTTAGATGATCATATTTCGAAATCTGAAATATCCCAAGAAAAAATAAGTTTCTTTATACTCGTAACATCTAGCAAGGATTGGCTGAAATACGATGAGCTTTCTATATTTCTACGTCGACAAAGCAAAATCAGAAATGATAAACCACGTTTCACTACCAATAATGCTATGGTTATCACGTCTAATCGTACGAAACCAACCAAGAGTTTTTTCACAGAATTTGCGTGTAGTAGTTTGAAAACAAATACCATTTTATTTCCTTCTTGCGTTGCCTGTAATAAAGGATCTAACCTACTCGAAGATTGTAAACATTTTCATCAGTCATCACAATGAGGTGAATTATTTTTCGAATGAACATAAAGGTAACGCGTGCCCATCCAAATTCAATATCTATAAATAAAGCATCATCACCATACCATCTTTTTATGTAAGAATGAACCAAACCCAAAAAATGATATTTCAGAAATAATAACGAATTCGATTCGTGTTTGAATAGAGAAAACACCGAAAGTACTAATGTGCCTGAAAATATTCCTAGTCTATGTACCGTAATCACTATAACACATAATGAATCCAAATTGAAAAGACACCATACGATTTTTTCCGAGGACAGTCCTGGTCAAAGTAGTCGATCGCTGGAATAAAGAATAACAAGTTCGGTTTTTATTATATGTCCGTTCAGCCAACACACTTGACTTATTCCTCACTAATAATTCAGTACCTTACGTACACCATTAGACGAGCTCCACTTGGTGATTCTGATCACACACTCCTCCATAACCTCCCCATTTTCCATTCCATCAACTGCACCAGCACCCCCACGTCTTGTATCGCACTACAACTCAGGAGACTGGGACGGTATCTGCATGTTTTGTTTTGCTTTAATTCTGAAGATCGTTCATAGTTTGCTGCGGAAATATCCTCACGCTTGGACTGGACACATACATAACTCTTTCTTCGAGAACACCATCACCTTCGAAACCCTGGTTCAACAAGAGCTTATCTAGAACTTTTGCCTTGGAACAAACAGCCTACCATTGCTGGCGCAAAAACACCAACCACGTGACTAGAGCAGAGGATTTTGAAGCCAGGGATAACTGTCGCAAAACAATTGATGCATCAAGAGAATCACACAATGCCAAAATGAGATCAAAACTCAAGGATTGTCCCAATGGCTCTCATTCGTTTTGGTCCCTCGCTAAAGCAGTCAGTAGGAATTCCACCACTCTCCAAAGTCGACAGCACATCAGTAACAATATCGCAAGAGGAAACGAACATCTTTGCAGATATATTCGCATTAAACTCCACCTCAGATTCCCAGAGAAGGGTGCCGCCAGATATTCCATCCGTTGAAAGTCGGATTCCCGAAATAGTCTTTCGTCAAAGCACTATCAGACGCATTTTGCTTGGTCTCAAAACGAATAAATACAACGGTCCTGATGAAATTCCACCCATTATTCTTGAAACGTGTGCACCAGAATTGACACCAATTCTCTGCAAGTTATTCCCCATCTCGTACAAGTCGGGTGTTCTGCCATCTTGCTGGAAAATAGCTTGAGTCCAAGGAATCTCCAGAAAAGGAAACAAGAGCCTGTCCAACAACTATAAGTCAACTGCGCTGTTATCAGTCAAATTCAAAGTGATGGAGAAAGCAATCAACAATGAGCTCATCAAATATCTGGAAATCTCGGTAATCATTAATGATAGACAATATGGTTTTCGCCATCGAACATCAACTAGAGATTTACTAGCCTATATCATCCAAGATTCATGGAAAAAACATAAGGAATCCCTAGCTGTACCGTTGGATATATCGAAGGCATTCAAACGTGCTTGGCACCAAAGGCTACTCCACAAACTACCATCCTATGGCTTACCACCTCAGTTATGCCGAGTTTTGTTTCAGGCAGATCGCTTCATGTGGTGGTGGAAGGAGTATCGCCATCAATTTCGGCATTCCACAAGGATCAATATTGACTCCAACATTGTTCCCACTCCATATCAATGATATGTTGAGAGCTACCACTGGCCCTATCCACAGATTTGCAGACGATAGTACTTTCCATGCTGCCCTCTCCTCCAGAATCCCCATTTCTTCATAGAAAACCAAGAACTTACGACGGCGATAGGTCAACGCTCTCCATGACGATCTTGCTGAAGTTACTGCCTGGGGAACCAGAAACTTAGTTGAATTCAACGCTACCAAAACGCGAGTCTGTATTTCCTCTAGAAATACTGATATAACAATGAGAGGGTTAGAAAACACAAAATCATCTCCACAACGTTTGATAATCGAAAGATTATTTAGGGGAACATGTTTCGGACAGTCATGTGTCCATCATCAGCCTTAATCCTTACAAACCAAAGGTCCTATAATATGAAACAAGTTAATCATGAAGAATGTATGAAATAAAGAATTTACTCACGTGGGAATGAAAAAACACACATTATGAAAAAAAACATTGAATAAAATTATTGTGCAAATAAGCACCGGTTAAAGGTCAGGTTGATTTTAAAGGAGCCCTATGCCCCAATGAGGACGTACATTATCACGATTTAATGGCAAAACCCATTTTTGTAAAAACCGGGTCAATTAATTACTCAAAACCATCTCTTCTTCTTCTTCTTCTTCGAAGCACTGGTGGGCGGGTGAACCCCCTTATTCGGGCCCATTGTGCGCCCACATGTTACGACATTCAGCTGGGTATACCGACTGCCTTGGAGAAGTTCAGCAGCTTCCTCAGCTGAATCTCTTTGACGTCCTCTGGCCTCATAATTATGTTGCCAAGGACAGCCCTCCTCTGATGCGTCAGAGCTGGACACTCAGTGAGGACATGTGATGACGTTTCGTCATCTTCCAGGCACCATCTGCGAAGGGGGTCATCCTTGATCCCAATAAGCTCTAGGTGCCTATTGAGGTGGTTGTGCCCCGTTAGGAGCCCCACTACCATTTTAAGGTTTCGCCTGTTGAGGAATAAAACCTCTTTTGCGAGCCTCTTCGAAGGTTCCTTTATGTGGAGCTTCGATTGGCTCATTCCTGGTGTGTCCATCCATATTTTGAGGAATTGCTTTTGCAGCTGTTCCTCTATAGAGGACATTGCCAGGCTATTTGGTATTCCCAAGATTGGTTCCGGTCTGACCGGGGTCCGTCCTGAACCGATCTTTGCCAGTCTGTCTGCCTCCTCGTTTCCGGGTATTCCCGAATGTCCCGGGACCCACATGAGGCTGACTTTTCTTAATTTTGCCAGGTTTTCCAAGGCTTTTCTGCACTCGGACACCAAATTGGATGTGATCCTATTGGATTGCAAAGCCAGTATTGCAGCTTTGCTGTCCGAGCATATAGTGATTGGTCTATGACCTCTCATAATTAGGTTTTCTTGGACACAGGTGAGTATTGCAAGTACTTCTGCCTGGAACACTGAGGCATATTCGCCCAAAGGAACTGAAATTTCTTTCCCTGTTCCTTCATTGTATACCCCTGCACCTGAACCGACCCCAAATTTTGAGCCATCCGTGTACCAGATTGACTCATTCGGAGGAGGCACGCCAGGTGTTGTGTCATTCCATTCTTCCCTCGTAGGGATGACAGTGTTTGGGGCTTTGTTGAAGTTCAGAATTGGCAAGGTATTATCCCTTCTCATCATGAGGATGGGACAGTTTTCCTTTGCCTTATTCCATATGAGGGAGTGTCCTTGATCTGCTTCTGTTCCGACCCACTGGTTTGCACCGTTGAGTCGGTAAGCAGTTCTCATGGCTTCGTGTTGTATGAACAGGTGTAGAGGCGGCAGACCTAACAGAACTTCAAGAGCCCTGGTAGGCGTCGTTCTCAGAGCACCTGTTATTCCCAGGCAGGCCAGTCGCTGGGCTTTATCCAGTTCTCTGTTGGTCTTGCCCTCATTGGTACAAAACCATCTCAAAACAAACCTTCATCATCAGATAATAGAAGACAAGTGGCGTTTTTAGCAATCCACAAAACGCAAAACGTAAGTTCTGCGATGACAAGATACATATGACACTGACAATGTCAACTGTCCGTATATAGATGCCCATTCGTACGTTTCTGTAAGACCAATATTAACTGAGATAGTTATTAAGTGAAATATAAACATTCACCCTGTACCTACAAATCAAATTGATCAAGTGTCATCGAAAATATCAACGAATCCAATCTAATTTTAGTTTATGAATTAAAAAGGTTCAGCTTCGGGGTTAAATCATCATCATTTCTCATAGTGGTGAAACAGTTATGTTTAGATGAATCTAAATGTTTTTCCAAATAGTGGCGTATCGGCCATGTATCGTTCAAGAATTTTCGTAATCTTGCTGGAAGATTACATTTTGATTCCGAGAGAAGAAGAAACCACGTACCTAGTAATTCTACAGAAGAATCTGCCGGCCGTTAAACAATCTTAACGAACTGAGGCTGTTAACATTAACTTTTCAATTGCCATAATTATGAATAACTGTCTGTAGGTTAATCGAGGAGGTGGTACATTCATTATTCGCAAATTTTTGGGATTTTCTCTACTCGTTTCTATAAAATAAAAATATGAATATTATTTCAATATACGTGTAGTAAGGACAAATCAGATGATTTGCCCCGAAATGTCACTGCGTTTAAAGAATTTTCCTATCAGAGAGCCTAAAAGAATAATTCACTAGCTTGTCAGTGACAATTTGTATCGAAAAAAGTTTGGAGAAGAGAAATAAAGGTATATAGAAAAAATATCAAATTGTCACTTCTCCTTGGACGCTTCGGGACCGAATCTGCTCCAGTTTTCAACATAAAAAAATGGTTATTTGAATAGCAAAGTTGTACCTGTCTTGAAACTTTTCAGTTTTCAGTGACAATTGGTGACGTTGGCAATCAAATGAGTTACAGGATGTTTTCATTATTGTTTTCATTAATTAATCTCAAATTTACCATTTTCATTTTCAGATTTCAGTAGTGAATACCATGTTCTGTCTATATCAACGGAACAAGAAACAATGCTATTGTCTCCGTTCAGAAGAATGCAAGAAGATTTCTTGATTTTTTTTCTGGTTGTTATCTTCTTTTCCAATGATTTTAATATTATTCCACTCTGCCATATGTTGTCCGTATTCAGTAAGGATATGTTCAGCTAGTTTCGATTTATCGATGTGTCTCTTCTTTATATTGTACTCATGTTCCTTCGTACTTACTGAAAGGGGTCTCTTGGTTTCACCTGTATAAAACTTTCCACAAACACAAGGTATACTGTAGATACAATTTTCTGACGATTGTTCTTCATTTTTCGGCTTTGCTTGACTTGGAATTGATCTCATTATATTTTCACGTTTTATTTTTTCAGATATGCCGGGAATGTATGGTATGTCGTAGGGCCTGCAAATTTGGTATACAAGGTACTGAAGGGATGCCCTAGTGTGGAATTGACATTCAATTCACTTGAAATTTATCACCAACACGTTTTATTCTTTCAGATATGCCGCGAATGTATGGTATTATATTTGTCGTTATTAATGGTTGATTTTGTTGTGGTTGACCCTGTTTGTTTTTTTTGTCGTAGGGCCTGCAAATTTGGTATACAAGGTCCTGAAGGGAGTGAAGGGATGCCCTAGTGTGGAATTGACAACTTCAAAATAAAAAAGTAACAATTCTGGACCCACCCTCCTTTTCTTGTGATACCTCCAGTATGAAATGAATTGATCAGGACAATATTTAAAAAAAAATTGGTGAATGATGGTTTCACTAAAACGAAACGTCCTATAAAGTAGTGAATATCATAATGTCTCCAGGAGTTGCTATGGAAAAGTATTTCCAGTTTTTCTGTATCCATAACGTAAAAAAAAAGTTTATGTTCCCAGGATATCTTTGAAGTACTTCTAGAGAACGATGACTTTGAAATATTTTCTGAAGGTTTCCAGAATATTTTAAAAACAATTTGGGGCTATTTGGGATAGAATAATAAGTATATATACCTTTCGGTATCTCCTCGAGGTTGGTTTGTATGATGAATACGTATTTGAGACTTGGCACATTCTTGAAGGCTTGCGGCTCGAGAATCTCCAGACTATTTTTCCGTATATCTATCGATTCCAGTTTCGGCAGATTTCTTATTGAATCCTTGCCCAGTCGCGTTATTCCACTGTTGACGACAACTTCCTTGATTTTCTTATTTTCGAACTCCTTCGGTTCGAGGCAGCCATTCACCACGTAAAACGAGGATTTTTTATTGACTCTAGCACTAACGTTCGTGCTTCTGAAGGAATCACATCCTTCACTCTTGATGATCGAAAGCTGCGCCAAAAAAATTAAGGTCGACAAGCAAACACGAATCATGTCTGGAAGTTATAGCGATGACTGTTGGATAACTGACTGGAACTGGCCAGAGATCTGGTTTTTGTTGTCTATATTTTGTTTGTCAAGATCACAAGGTCGAGTGGAAAGTCCTGCATTTTTCATGGGGATAACCTCGTGATAACATCAGATGATTTGCCCCAGATTATTACTGTAAAATTTCACAATAACAAATCTGAAGTTGAAATTCAATCGATAGTCATACTGACCTCGTCCTGCCGCTGGTTAGATATTATAATGGTAGGAAGAGAAAAAGAAAACGTCTATTAGAAGAGCAGCAGTTATTTGGCAAGTAAACAATCATCCTACCCTCAATTTGCCTACCTTCCTACCCACTATTGTATCTTTCATGTAACGATCGCATTACTAGACACAAATAAAGCCGATGAAAGCGTGCCAGCGACGTATCATAAATGTTCTTGTGTAGGATGATATAATTTGAATTTGAATTTACAACTATAGATGCACAGGTTCAGTGTGGCAACACTGAATATCTGTGTCATTGAGAGAGGAACTGTCAAATGTCATATAGGAGATATTTCACTTTTTGCCTGATATTTCAGGTCGAAAGTTGTGTAAAATATGAGATAAAAAATGTTTAGAGTTTGATCAAAGAATTCAATTGAATCCATATCGATCCGAAATAGAAGGCCACCCTACAGATCAGAAGAGGGGTGAACTTAAGTATGTTTATTTCTGTCAATAGAACTCCTGAGTGTTAATTCTAGAGATTGCATATTCACTTTGAGGTTGAAGATGAGCATACAGCAGAGATGGTCGATGGAAATGGGGGCGGAGAAGTTAAGATTACCGTAGAAGATTTGGTCTCTGGAACAAGCAACGGTACAAGCGGAATCCCTCGGAAATGGCCACAATAATAATAATAATAATAATAATAATAATAATAATAATAATAATAATATTTATTTCACTTGTTAAACCGTATGAAAGCGTTACAATAAACATGTACGTACAGTAACAAGGAATACGTCTGTGTATAAATTAGAGAGTAGGAGATAAATAAATATATATATAGAAAAAAAAAACAAAAATTTTATATAAAACGACAAAACTTGACACCTATTGATTTGGACATATAAAGATGGGTGATTTATTGATTATCGTGAGTTACTAAAACTTGCCAACGGTGTAGCAGTTTCTTCCTATGAGATATTTTTTCAATTGTCTTTTGAATATGGAGATATTCTTTGAATCCTTAATAGAAACATCTAGCTTGTTGAATAGTTTGGGTCCAAGGTAGAGGTGACTCCTCTGATAAAGGGAGGTTCGGTGAGGGTTTGCTATCAGCAAACCTCTTGCTCTCGTTGGATAAGGGTGGTCTTGTTGGTTTGCCCTAAATTTATCTCTATTCTTATAAACGTAGAGACATATCACATATATATACAGACCAGCAACTGTGAGTATTTCCAGCTCTCTAAATGAGTTTCTGCATGATTGTCGCCATCCTAAAGTAGCAATTATTCTGACCGCGCGTTTTTGTAGAATGAATACTCTTTCAACGGAAGAGCTCATACCCCAATTTAGGATTCCATAGCGCAGGTGACAGCCAATAGTTGCATAATACAGATTTAGCAGGACCTCTATTCCACAATGATTCGACATGAATCTCAGTGCATAACAGTTCTTTCGTAGTTTATCACATAATGAATCTACATATATGAGGACTCCAATTGAGCTTATGATCTATAATTAGACCTAGCATTTTTGTTTTTGGGTTGGATGTCACCTCTATTTGATTATCTTCATATATTTTTAGAGTTTCAGTTGTGTTATGCATTGAGAATTTTACTAATGCTGTTTTGTTGATATTTAGTGCTAAGTGATTTTTATCAGCCCATTCCATTATTCTCTCATATATGGATTCTGTTGTTTCTACAAGTGCTGATTTATTATGATCATTGACCAGAACATTTGTATCGTCTGCATATGCAACTATATGTACCTTCGAAAGACTATTTAGATATAGTATCAAGTCGTTCGCATAAATAAGAAAAAGTAATGGTCCGAGTATGGATCCCTGAGGAACTCCTTGTTTGCACGCCAATGACTGACTGTGAACACCTTGGATTATCACTTTTTGTGACCTATTCTCTAAATAGGACCTTATCCAATCTTGGGCAATTCCACGGACCCCATAGCGATGCAATTTCTGGATCAGCACATAGTGATCAACACAGTCAAATGCCCTGGAAAAATCGATGAACAAACCACAGATTTGTAGTTTGTTATCAATGCTGTAGCGGCCTTAATTCCTGGATTCAATGGGGCTTTATGATGACGATATAAGAGGAGGATCGATGTAATTCGACAAATCCATGAGATCAATGCAACTTTCCTAGAAAATAGATCCATTGCTGTTATGATATAGTAATTATGCATTCGAAGAACAATTTCCGGAAATCTAGACCTATTGATGATGTCGGCAACGTCGTACTGGCACAGGGAACTCTGTGTGAATGTGGATTTTCAGAAAGTACGTCATAGGAATGGTGGAGGAGCCAAGTTCCTCTTTTATTTATTTTTTTCTGAAGTGGAATTTGATCTCACGATAGAAAAATGAAATACGTGTATATTAATTTTCTACAAACTTCACAGTGAGATGAGAACCTCAATATAGGAAAGTTCCCCATTCATTCTGACTGTTCATAAAGATTTAATGAAATTGGTTTACTTTTCCTCAGATAGTGACATCATGAACATTTTGAAAACCTCAAATTGCATTGAGAAAGAATATCCTCAGATATATTTATGAACACAGAAAAATGAATATACAGGGTGTTTCATTGGGAAAGGTAAATAATTCACGTATGATGAATTGGAAGTAATAAAATTAATAAATCTCGTATGATTCCAATTTTGTACCCCAAAATGAGCAAAAATAATATTTTGAGCACATAATATGAATAGTTAAAATCGTCTGTGCACGAATAAAAAGCACATCGTTGAATAGAAATTTCGATGTTCTTTTCAGATATGGCAAAAAAATGAGAAATTCGAATGTATAGGGTGTTGTTTTCTGGCAGAAAGAATTTGTGAATTTTAAGTGAAGCCGGACCTGGATTTTATCTTTTGTTGTTGCCTCAATCAATTCCACAGGATAGATTGAGCAAGTGTACCAATTCTTAAAAATATATACAGGTTGGTTGGAAAGTTATGAGACAATGAAGATATGGACAAAAATGATGAAACATCCTGTATCTCGGTTATAAGAAGTCGATGACCCATCAACCATGGGTTTTTTGAAATCACCCCAGTCACCCCTATCCACAGTTGAATTATTTACCTTTCCCAATGAAACACCCTGTATACAGCGCATATTTTTCCCCATTTAAACGACTTCGTATCTCCTACCGTTTCCGAGATCCCAATGCTGTTCAACCTTATCTTGGACAGACCGAGAATTCGCATTCCCCATGTGATGAATATACTAATCCTTTCTCGGTTTATTCAACAGGAAACAACTACTTTCCTGGCTATTTGCCACGTCGAACATTGAATTATATCTATTGAACAAACACAATAAGAATTTGAAAACAAGTAAATAATTTGCATTCCCCTTCATATAAAGATATGCACATAATATCATTCTGAATATTCAACAGAACAACTAATTTCCTGGCTATTTGCCACGTCGAACATTGAATTATAATCAAAATCCTCTGAAATTGAGTATTTACATTATCTCTCAAATCGAATATGATGTATTTTGATATGAAAATATAACTTACCAATATGTTCAGTATTGAAATGTAAATTGAAATGTATAGGAGAAGTATACTTGTATGAAGATTTTATTTTCAAATTCTTATCGTGTGTGTTCAATAGATATAATTTACTGTTCGTCGTGGCATATAGCCAGGAAAGTAGCTGTTTCCTGTTGAATAAACCGAGGAAGGATTCATATTTTCATCACATGGAGAATGCGAATTCTCAATGTATTTCTTTATACAGGGTGGGCCACCGGTAACGCCTCAGTCTTTAGAAGGCTAACCACTCATCTTGTTGAAATTCTTCCTCTTTAGGACATTGCATGTCAACATAGGCTACCATTTGAAATTATTACAAAACATACAGGGTGTCCCAAAAAAAATCTACTGAAGTTATACTTTTTTTAATGGAACACCCTATATATTATTTCATTTCGATATTCTCCCGGAATAACTGATTCCAACGACTCATCGTACTTGGGGTCTAGCAGTAATAATTACTGAGATATCAAATCGAGATTTCCAAGTTCAGGAATTGTTCGTGTCGAAACTATTCATAATTGGTCAAAATGATTTACGTATCCCTATTCCAATTTTTTATTCACTATCGATTGGTATTTGGTATTTGATTAAAATAGAAACAGGGTGGTCAAAAATCTCAATTCTGAACCAAACAGTATTTGTTTTAAACGAATATCAATTCATAGTGGATAAAAAGTTCAGATAGGGACTTGTGAACCGTTTTGGCCAATTATGAATAGTTTCGACACAAAAAATTCTTAAACTTGGAAAATCTCGATTTTTCACACCCTATATCTCAGTGATTATTAATGCTAGACCCCAAGTATGATGGGTCGTTGAAATCAGCTCATCAGGGAGAATCTCAGAATGAAATAATATATGTTCAATTAAAAAAAGTATAACTTTAGTGTTTTACGGTTTTTGAGGACACCCTATATGTTGACATGCAACTTCCTAGAGAGAAAGAATTCCAAGAAGATGATGCGTTACTGGTGGTTCACCCTATATATCCATTTTTTTGTGTAAATAAATATATCTGAGAATATTCCTTTTCAATACTTTCATCCAATCAATGAACCCCTTGAACGATGTAAACTTAGATAGACCTCAATCGCAGATTCGTGGATTCAGAATTTCTTTCCATGTCCTGTATGATGTATATCAATTTATCATACATCTTGAATTGCATATCCTCAGAAATAGTGAAAATTCACATAAATTCATTGACGATACTAATATCGACACTGGTCTAAACCAGTGTCGATGATTTTTGGAGCGAAAAAAAAATAAAAGTTGGATGAGACCCGTTGAGGGACGAAAATATAACAAAGATGGAAGGGAAAATAAATTACGGCGATCTGAGGTCGGGAAGTGGTAGGTGGTGAGTTTAAAAAACGGCTTATCTTGATTTCCAGCAAAACTACTAGTCCTATGGAAAAAAGTTGAAGAGCAAAGTCGTAGGTGATGAAAAGACCTACAACTTTTGTGATAACACTTTTTTCACATAACCTCAAAATTCATGTGAAAAATTCAAATAATCACATTTTTGCTTTTTTATTTGTATCTTATGCAAAAAACATTTTTTTCTCACGAAATTTGATGAAAACTTACTGTAATTTTTTTGATTTGAAATATTCATTTTTTCACCTTATTTCGATTTAATATCGAAAAAACACCCTAATTTTCAATCGAAAATTCTCACGCCAGTATATCAGCTCTTTAAATAACCTCGGGGCTTTTTTGTTCGTTGAAATCTCTTCTTTCTGATAATGTAAAAATATATACATCACTATAGTAAATGTTCTCAGAAAAGCATAGAGAAGAAAAAAACTCGAATCCGAATTTTTTTTTAATCATTATGTAGAATTTTGAGCTATTTAGTGAAATTTACACTTCAATCACATAAAGATTTCAAGGAACATGCGGAAATAATTGTTCTGAATATTGAAGATAGGATTTGAAGGAAGTTAGTGATTCAGATAGAATTGTATATGAAGGACCAATTCAGACTAAAAATAATATTGGATACGAAGACGGTGATGGTCTTGAAGATTTCAAAGATCCACTAGAATCGGGAAAGTTTGTCAAATCTAATGATGAAGAAATGCCACCGAAGATACAAAGAGTAATGAATAAGTGATTAGGGTTCAAGATAAGATTTATAAATAAGAAGATAAATGCATTTAAAAATATTATCATGAATAATGATAATCAGTATAAAGTATCTAAATTCAATAGTACGATTTACATATCTATTCATATATTATAAGACATTCCATGACATACATGTGATTATAATTTGATAAAGCAACTTTTTGCCCAAAAAAAAATTGCAGCAATCACATTTTTTTATTGACATCCCCATCCTATTTTCAATGTTTAGAACAACTATTTTCGCATGTTTCTTGCAATCTTTATGATTTATGGATTTGTAATTTTTTTTTCCAATGTCACATTGAATCTTACGTTTTTCAAGTAATTAAAGTGAAAATTTGACAAAATATAGCTCAAAATTGTACATAGTGATGAAAAACAAATTCGGATTCGAGTTTTTTCTTGCTTTGCATTTTCTGAGAACATTTACCATAGTAATGTATATATTTTCTTACATTATCAGGAAGAAGAAATTTTAACGAACAAAAAACGCCCCGTGTTTTTTCAAAAAGCTGATATTTTGACGTGAGAATTTTCGATTGGAAATTAACGTGTTTTTTCGATATTAAGGTGAATATAAGGTGAAAAAATTAATATTTCGAATAAATAACAATTACAGTGTGTTCAGGACATGAAAAGGTGAGTTTTGACCAAATTTCGTGCTATCCCCTACAACTCAGGCATATTTCTCATGTGCCTGATTATTGTATTTCATCCCAAGAAAATCGAAGAACTCAAGCTTTCTCCAAAGGCAGAGTCCAGCTCATATGTCCGATGTACCTTCGCCTGCATTGTACTTCAGTCTAAGAGAACAAAAGTACACAAGCTTCCCCCAACGGCTCAGTCAAATTTCTCAAAACTCCGACGAACCTTCGCGTCATCTCTTCTTCGACACGTTCTTGGCACGCCTTTTCTGGAGGAACTACGCAAATCGGGTCGTAAGGTGTTCTACAGTGGTGCACTGATGCCTTTACGCTGCCGCTGCCAAAGTACAGCCAGTCGTGTATCCGCTGCAGACACGGACACTTCCAGGGGTTCTCATCCATGATGATTTCTCCGACAGATAACTTCCTCAGCAGCTTGCCCGGCAAGTAGTTGAGATGGTTGTTATTGATATACAGACTCTCGATGTATATTCTGTTGGGGAACGCTCGTTCATCGATCAATGTAAGCCTGTTGCGTTCCAAGTTTAAAAAACTCAGGTTTTTCAAGTTTTGGAAGGCACCTGGTTCGATGGTGGCGATCTTGTTTCCTCCAAATGTGATGACAGTGAGCTTCGGCAGCGATACAAACGCTCTTCTTGGGATAGTATGGATGTTGTTGCCGAAGAAATTGATATTCTGTAGATTTGGGCAGTTCTGGAACCACTCCCTGTTCCAGTATTCGAGCTTATTGCCGTACAAGTCGATCTGATGGAGCGACTCCATATTGGAAAAGGCTCCAGTCGCGATGAAGTCAATCTTGTTGAAGGATAGCATCAGGTTCGTGATGGTGGGAACTAAGTTGAAAACGTCTGTAACAAGAATGTATTTTCGAAAGAATCCAGTCCAGCATCTCCTAAATCATATTAGAGATGGTTTCGTATATAATTAGTCAAATTTGATGGTGAAGGTCTTGCTTTGTGGCCGCTATTCCTTGAAAATTCCATAAATTTTGTTCACTTATAGAACTAGAACTTTCAGAAGCCGAAAAATTGAAATATCTATTAGATAGCTTGTCTGGAAAGGCACTGAAAACATGCAACTCGGTAGAAGCGCACCCCGATATCTTTTATATAACTTGGAAATTGTCATAGGAGAAAATTTCGACGACAAAAAGTATTTGTTCAGCTTATATCTCGATAGGATTGTGAATTGTGAAAGTGGGATCAGTAATCATCCCTCAAGTTTTTGAACCTTTTTGGAAAGATTCGACACTATTATATCAGCTCTGAAATATCCCAAGAAAAAATTAGTTCCTTTGTACTCGTAACATCTAGCTAGGATTGGTTAAAATACGATGAGCTATCAATATTTCTACGTCGAAAGCAAAATTGTAATCAGAAATGATGAACCACGTTTCACTACCAATAATGCTATGGTTAACACGTCTAATCGTACGGAATCAACCAAGAGTTTTGTCACAGAATTAGCGTGTAGTAGTTCCAAAACAAATACCATTTCATTTCCTTCTTGAGTTGCCTGTAATAAAGGATCTGACCTACTCGAAGATTGTAAACATTTTCATCAGTCATCACAATGAGGCACTTCAAGTTGATAAAGGAAAATAATTTATATTGAAGAGGAGCATTCTCAGATATATTTATGAACACAAAAAATGGATATATATATATAAAGAAATACATCGAGAATTCGCATTCTCCATGTGATGAAAATATCAATTCTTTCACGGTTTATTCAACAGAAAACGACTACTTTCCTGGCTATATGCCACGACGAATATTGAATTACATCTATTGAACACACACGATGAGAATTTGAAAACAATATCTTCTGAAGTAGAGAATTTGCATTCTCCTTCATATAATGATATGCATATAATATAATTCTGAATATTCAACAAAAAACAACTACTTTCCTGGCTATTTGCCACGTCGAACATTGAATTATATCTGTTGAATATTCAAAAAGAGAGCATGAAAGATCAAAATCCTCTGAAATTGATAATTAATATCATCTCTCAAATCGAATAGAATAATATAATGTATTATGATATAAAAATATAACTTACCGATATGTTCAGTATTGAAATGAAAATTGAAATGTATAGGAGAAGTATACTTGTATGAACTCTGATCTTGATGAGCTTGGAACTTCCAAAATATATCTGAGAATGTTCCTTTTCAATACTTTCGCCCAATCAAGGGGTTTAAACTTGAACGATGGAAACTTGTTATTTGTATAGACCTCAATCGCAGATTCGTGATTAGGTATTTTTCTCAATTCTGAATTTCTTTCCACGTCCGTTAATCGTGACATGCACATGGATGATTTGATAACTGAACAAAAATAATATTGGATACGAAGACGGTGATGGTCTTGAAGATTTCAAAGATCTACTAGAATCGGGAAGGTTTGTCGAATCTAACGATGAAGAAATGCCACCGAAGAGACAAAGAGTAATGAATAAGTGATTAGGGTTCAAGATAAGATTTATAAATAAGAAGATAAATGCATTTAAAAATATTATCATGAATAATGATAATCAGTATAAAGTATCTAAATTCAATAGTACGATTTACATTTCTATTCATATATTATGAGATTTTTTGACTTTTTGACAAAAAAAATTGCGGCAATCACATTTCTTTATTGACATCCCCCCATTAAATCCTATTTTCAATGTTTAGAACAACTATTTTCGCATGTTTCTTGCAATCTTTATGATTTATAGATTTGTATTTTTTTTGTTTCTCAATGTAACATAGATTCATAGAATCTTACGTTTTTCAAGTAATTAAAGTGAAAATTTCACAAAATAGCTCAAAATTGTACATAGGGATGAAAAATAAATCCGGATGCTTCGCATTTTCTGAGAACATTTACCATAGTAATGTATATATTTTCTTACATTATCAGGAAGAAGAGATTTCGACGAACAAAAAACGCCCCGAGTTTTTTCAAGAAGCTGATATTTTGACGTGAGAATTTTCGATTGAAAATTAAGGTGTTTATTCGATATTAAGTCAATATGAGGAGAAAAAATGAATATTTCGAAAAAAAAAACAGTCTCTTCAGGACATGAAAAGGTGAGTTTTGACCAAATTTCGTGCTATCCCCTACAACTCAGGCATATTTCTCATGTGCCTGATTATTTTATTTCTTCTCAAGAAAACCGAAGAACACAAGCTTTCCGATGTACCTTCGCCTGCATTGTACTTCAGTCTAAGAGAACAAAAGTACACAAGCTTCCCCCAACGGCTCAGTCAAATTTCTCAAAACTCCGACGAACCTTCGCGTCATCTCTTCTTCGACACGTTCTTGGCACGCCTTTTCTGGAGAAACTACGCAAATCGGGTCGTAAGGTGTTCTACAGTGGTGCACCGATGCCTGTACGCTGCCGCTGCTAAAGTACAGCCAGTCGTGTATCCGCTGCAGACACGGACACTTCCAGGGGTTCTCATCCATGATGATTTCTCCGACAGATAACTTCCTCAGCAGCTTGCCCGGCAAGTAGTTGAGATGGTTGTTATTGATATACAGACTCTCGATGTATATTCTGTTGGGGAACGCTCGTTCATCGATCAATGTAAGCCTGTTGCGTTCCAAGTTTAGAAAACTCAGGTTTTTCAAGTTTTGGAAGGCACCTGGTTCGATGGTGGCGATCTTGTTTCCTCCAAATGTGATGACAGTGAGCTTCGGCAGCGATACAAACGCTCTTCTTGGGATAGTATGGATGTTGTTGCCGAAGAAATTGATATTCAGTAGATTGGAGCAGTTCTGGAACCACTCCCTGTTCCAGTATTCGAGCTTATTGCCGTACAAGTCGATCTGATGGAGCGACTCCATATTGGAAAAGGCTCCAGTCGCGATGAAGTCAATCTTGTTGAAGGATAGCATCAGGTTCGTGATGGTGGGAACTAAGTTGAAAACGTCTGTAACAAGAATGTATTTTCGAAAGAATCCAGTCCAGCAGCTCCTAAATTATATTAGAGATGGTTTCGTATATAATTAGTCAAATTTGATGAAGGTCTTGCTTTGTGGCCGCTATTCCTTGAAAATTCCATAAATTTTGTTCACTCATAGAACTAGAACTTTCAGAAGCCGAAAAATTGAAATATCTATTAGATAGCTTGTCTGGAAAGGCACTGAAAACATGCAACTTGGTAGAAGCGCACCCCGATATCTTTTATATAACTTGGAAATTGTTATAGGAGAAAATTTCGACGACAAAAAGTATTTGTTCAGCTTATATCTCGATAGGATTGTGAATTGTAAAAGTGTGATCAGTGATCATCCCTCGAGTTTTTGAACCTTTTTGGAAAGATTCGACACCATTATATCAGCTCTGAAGAAACTGAATTTGAACGACTTAGATGATCATATTTTGACACATATTGCTCTATCTGAAATATCCCAAGAAAATAGTAGATTGTTTTATTAGGATCAAAAGTGACACTTTGTTTGACAAGCGAATTTTGCATTTGCGAGGCGGAGCGTTTAGCGAAGCCGAGCGAAAGCAAAATTTGCGAGTCGAACAAAGTCACTCTTGATCCGAATGAAACATGCTATTTTTTCTGCAACCGAAACAATCAATTCAAATAAACATGTGAAGTTACCACCAATGCCGTGCCATATGTATGCAATGGAACAAATATTGACAAATAATCCATGTGGTGAGAATATTCTACCTGCATTAACAGCAGGTTAGGTTTTCTAAGATGTTCGAATTGTAGTTTCAATATAAGTACAACCACAGAGTGACATATTTGTGTATGGAACAGGTGCTCTAATGGCAAATACCGCGCTAGTGCCAGCTATAGGAACAAGACGTGGAAAATGTTAGGTTAGTGAGTATATCAACATTGATAATAGAGATTATTTATTCCTTTCCATACTATACTGTGTTTGACTTGATAATCAAATGAAGTTAAACAATATCGTTGTTTGAGACAAAAAAACAATTGCTCGCCGTGATTATTCAAAAACAAGTTACCTATCCATCCCGAGAATAACGAATGAAATACAGATCACGCAAGTATTTGAATCTTGAAGGCTTCCCTGATCAAAACAAGAATACTTAACTGAGATGTTTATAATTTCAATACTGAACTATAATAAGGTGTATTTATATCTACAGCATGGGTATGAAATGCCAAATCTGCTAAATTCGGAACCAAATCAGGTATGCGTCTCAACCCAAATAACCAACTGTCACAATGTTGTTTATTCTTGATGACGTCCAGTAGATCCTTTTTAGTTCCTAGGAGCTGAAGTTCAACTTTAGCTCCTAGGAACTAAAATTCAACTTTAGCTCCTAGGAACTAAATATGTTGCCTAGCAACATTCCTATTTTTGTGTCAGTAATAGAAATGTCAATTTAAGAGCTAATTTTGCTATCAAAATGGACGACTTTTGTGTCGGTTGCAGAAAAAATTAGTTTCTTTGTACTCGTAGCATCTAGCTAGGATTGGCTAAAATACGATGAGCTATCAATATTTCTACGTCGAAAGCAAAATTGTAATCAGAAATGATGAACCACGTTTCACTACCAATAATGCTATGGTTAACACGTCTAATCGTACGGAATCAACCAAGAGTTTTGTCACTGAATTAGCGTGTAGTAGTTCCAAAACAAATACCATTTCATTTCCTTCTTTAGTTGCCTGTAATAAAGGATCTGACCTACTCGAAGATTGTGAACATTTTCATCAGTCATCACAATGAGGCGCTTCAAGTTAATAAAGGAAAATAATTTATATTGAAGAGGAACATTCTCAGATATATTCATGAACACAAAAAATGGATATATATATATAAAGAAATACATTGAGAATTCGCATTCTCCATGTGATGAAAATATCAATTCTTTCACGGTTTATTCAACAGAAAACAACTACTTTCCTGGCTATATGCCACGACGAATATTGAATTACATCTATTGAACACACACGATGAGAATTTGAAAACAATATCTTCTGAAGTAGAGAATTTGCATTCTCCTCCATATAATGATATGCATATAATATAATTCTGAATATTCAACAGAAAACAACTACTTTCCTGGCTATTTGCCACGTCGAACATTGAATTATATCTGTTGAATATTCAAAAAGAGAGCATGAAAGATCAAAATCCTCTGAAATTGAGAATTAATATCATCTCTCAAATCGAATAGAATAATATGATGTATTATGATATAAAAATATAACTTACCGATATGTTCAGTATTGAAATGAAAATTGAAATGTATAGGAGAAGTATACTTAAAGGAGGAAGGAAAGCTCAAAGTCATCTCCACAACTTTAATATGAAGTTTATTCAACGGGGACATGTTTCGAACTTATAAAAGTCCATCTTCAGCCGTATTTAAGAAATTACTAAAAGTAAAGACATTTGAAAATATACAAAATGTTATAAAAATTGTTTTTTGACTTACATGGAGGTGAACATTGTTTGTTTTAACAATGATGTCGATGTCTCTCATCATAATGTCATTGATGAAGAATAAATAAATTGAGGAATAAACGGGTTTTCATTAAAAATGAAGGGCCCCGTGCCCTGAGAACGCGCACTTATGAAGTGCGCGTTCTCAGGGCACGGGGCCCTTCATTTTTAATGAAAACCCGTTTATTCCTCAATTTATTTATTCTTCATCAATGACATTATGATGAGAGACATCGACATCATTGTTAAAACAAACAATGTTCACCTCCATGTAAGTCAAAAAACAATTTTTATAACATTTTGTATATTTTCAAATGTCTTTACTTTTAGTAATTTCTTAAATACGGCTGAAGATGGACTTTTATAAGTTCGAAACATGTCCCGTTGAATAAACTTCATATTAAAGTTGTGGAGATGACTTTGAGCTTTCCTTCCTCCTTTAAAAATTCCACTCCACTTTGAGCAAACATGGACTTCTACCAGAGATTAGAAGTATACTTGTATGAACTCTGATCTTGATGAGCTTGGAACTTCCAAAATATATCTGAGAATGTTCCTTTTCAATACTTTCACCCAATCAAGGGGTTTAAACTTGAACGATGGAAACTTGTTATTTGTATAGACCTCAATCGCAGATTCGTGATTAGGTATTTTTCTCAATTCTGAATTTCTTTCCACGTCCGTTAATCGTGACATGCACATGGATGATTTGATAACTGAACACTGATATACCTCTCAAAATCCAAGTCCAATTAGTTGAAATGTTCCGATCGGGGGGTTTTCAGATGAATAAATGAATGTCAAATTCATCCGAAGTACTATCGAATCTTCCAAATGATTTGAAACCTAACCAAACTGAAGAATTCGATAATAGTAGTGGTGTTGGGATTAGAATGGGAGGCATCAAACTTCAGTTTTCTGATTAATACTCATAAGGTAGCGTGCATAAAACGCAATATGTTGTCATTATTAGCGCGCACTTTCGTTCCATTAAGTTTTATTTCTCCAATCACATTGTTGGGAGAAAATTAAATATTCCACTATTTCCCACTACTGATCCATACTCTATAGCCCTATCCTAGTTCCCCTTCCAAATAGTGACAGTGACGTTAGATCGTAATTCTACAAAAGAATCTGCCGGCCGTTAAACAATCTTAACGGAAGGAGGCTGTTAACATTGTCATATGAATACCGTTAAATGAAAATAGCAGAACCGTTAGAATATTGAAATAATTCCAAACATGCTTATCAGAATGTTCCACTCCCTTTAAAAATCTAATATTATGTTTGTTTATTTGTTTCAATTCATGTATTTAGAATGCAAGGTGATTGATTGCTCTAGTGTCGCCTTTAATGGTCTGATTAGAATCTATAAGAGGCTTGAGCAGGAATTCCTATTGCGGAGAAGAAGCACAGCTCTCTAGCTTTCCACAGAAAAAAATCTTATGCCTTGAAATATATGAAATTATACTATCCTGTATACAAGATTCCAGTCCATTCTGACAGCTTGAATTGATTTAAGAAAGCTCGGTTGCTTTTTTTTCGGATCCAATAATCAAGTTTGTCGTAGAGTCTCCAAATTTGGTAGCCTTACCGGAACCTCAAGGGATGCTCCAGTGTGTAGAAAAAGCACACCTCTTCAGCTTTAATGAAAAAATTAGCAATTGCAATTAGCACTCTTCTCTGATTTTATATACTCTTGTTCAGTACATCGACAGCATCCCGTTCAAGATTATTTAGCCTATTCGGACACCTTGAATTGGTTGAAAAAAGTTTGAACCTGTTTTTTTTCTCAGATCCAAAAATCAACTTTGTCGTAGAGGCTTCAAAATTGGTATACAGGGTCCTTAAGAGCTGCTCTAGTGTAGAGTCGAATCATAGCTCTCTAGCTTCAATAGGAAGGAAGTAGCAATTTTTGACCCCTTCTGATGGCGAATATCTAGGAAGCTTTGTAGATAAAGAAAAACTGACTTCGAATTCTTCTTCAGCAAATTCTCTTCACAAGTTTTCAGTTCATTCTGATGCCTTGAAGTATATTAGATAAGTTCAATCCTTGTTTCTTTTTGAGACCCAAGAATAAACTTTGTCCTAGGGCCTTCAAATTTGGTATACAAGGTCCTAAAGGGATGCCCTAGTGTGGAGTTGAAAACTTCAAAATAAAAAAGTAGCATTTCTGGACACACCCTCCTTCCAGTATGAAATGAATTGAATAGGACAATATTTAGAAAAATTGGTAAATGATGGTTTCACAAATACGAAACGTCCTATAAAGTAGTGAATATCATAATGTTCGAAGTACTTCTAGAGAACGATGACTTTCAACTATTTTCTGAAGGTTTCTAGACTATTTGAAGAACAATTTGTGGCTATTTGAGATAGTATAATAAGTATATATATACCTTTCGGTATCTCCTCGAGGTTGGTTTGTGTGATGAAAACGTATTTGAGACTTGGCACATTCTTGAAGGCTTGCGGCTCGAGAATCTCCAGACTATTGTTCCGTATATATATCCCTTCCAGTTTCTGCAGATTCCTTATTGAATCCTTGCCCAGTCGCGTTATTCCACTGTTGACGACAACATACTTGATTTTTTTATTTTCGAACTCCTTCGGTTCGAGGCAGCCATTCACCACATAAAACGAGAATTTTTCATTGATTTTCGCAGTTACGTTCGTATTTTTGAAGGAATCACATCCTTCACTCTTGATGATCGAAAGCTGCGTCAAAAAAATCAAGGTCGACAAGCAAACACGAATCATGTCTGGAAGTTATAGCGACGACTGTTGAATAACTGACTGGAACTGGCCAGAGATGTGGTTTTTGTTGTCTATATTTTGTTTGTCAAGATCACAAGGTCGAGTGGAAAGTCCTGCATTTCTCATGGGGATAACCTCGTGATAACATCAGATGATTTGCCCCAGATTATTACTGTAAAATTTCACAATAACAAATCTGAAGTTGAAATTTAATTGATAGTCATACTGACCTAGTCCTGCCGCTGGTTAGAAATTATAATGGTAGGCAGAGAAAAAGAAAACGTCTATTAGAAGGGCAGCAGTTATTTGGCGACTAAACAATCATCCTACCCTCAATCTGCCTACCTACCTACCCACTATTGTATCATTCATGTAACGATCGCATTACTAGACACAAATAAATCCGATAAAAGCGCGCCAGCGACGTAATTGTGGATACTGTCCAAAAATATCATAATTTATCTTTATTAGTTATCAACTTCATTCAGCCAATGAGAGTTTATGGGAATTATCCATAATACTTGACAAAGTAGGATTGAAGAACCTATTATATCCCATTGCTGGCAAGATGTCGGCAACGTCGTACTGGCACAGGGAACTCTGTGAATGTGGATTTTCAGAATGTACGTCATAGGAATGGTGGAGGAGCCAAGTTCCTCTTTTATTTACTTTTTTTTTCAAGTGAAATTTGATCTTACGATAAAAAGAAAAAATACGTATATATTAATTTTCTACAAATGAAATTGGTTTACTTTTCTTCAGACAGTGACATCATGATAACATCTTGTAAACTTTAAATGGCATCTCCTCAGAAATAGTAAAAATTTACATACGCCACTCAAGGCGGATGTATGCACACCGCTTTTTCATTAATTTGTTGCTTTAATTAACCGCCATCAATTTTATTGTGATTTAAGGACAATAATACCATCATGCACCACCACTTTTTGATTTTGAACTCTTCTTCTTGGTCAAAACATAGTCCTCAGCGTACATAGCCCGATGAGAATATTTGAGTTATAACATTCAGTGATCACATAATTACAATGACAATTCAATTCATGTATGAAAAATCCCACAAGCCGCGTGATTTTGTCATTATGTCAGCGAAAAAAGTTTGCCCCAACTTTTCCAGCGACAATTACGAAAACTATAACTTTTGAAAGCATGACAACTAGCCTTAAACAAATTGTCTCACCAAATGTAATGAGAAAAATAAATTGTTACACTAATATATAGTACATTTCATGAATTTGAAAAAAATTAGACGTTCCAACAAGAGCCTCGACAACTATATAGGACTTTGATTCTTGTGAATGTTCAGAGTGCTGGCCGGCGATTTCATGCTGAGAAGATTGGCCAACACAGATGCGTTTCGGCCTGCCTGATTCATGATGTGCTGGCCTATTCACCAAGAGTTCTTGTTCATCTTTGAAAGGCTTTTTTTTGGGCCTTCCTCTCCTCCTAGGTTTTGGCTCAGTAGATGAGACTGAATACCTAGATCCGAAGCAAAACTTTTCCATTTGAGAATTGATCTGGTTTGGTGCTCGAAGAGCAGCCATTGCTTGTGGCTGTTACAACTTGGGTATTTTTTTGATAAATGTTTGATGCAGTCGGACTCGTAATTTTTTCAGTGGCAGTTTTTTTCGTCAAATTGCCAGGCAACAAAATTCTTATTGATACATGTCAAGTTTACTTCGATAAAAAAAAAATTATAAGTGACAATAATTCATTCATATTGTTTTCAAAGTCTAATTTGAACATACAAATAAAATTTTCAGAATTTTCAACCACATTTTGGAGAAAAAGAAGGAAGAAATTGTTTGTCTGACTTCTGACCACCTTCTGACAGAATAGTTATAAGATAAAATTCAATTTAGGTGCATAAATGAATGAACGGGAATACCAAGTTTGAACTTATTAGTGATGTCGTTAATGATTGTGGAATTACAGATTAATGAAAAAGTGGTGTGCATAAATCCGCCTTCAGTAAATTCATTGACGATATAAACGGGGCTAAATTCCAAAAAAAGCCCTCCTTTACAATCCTAGAAGCATTTCATGTAACAATTGGATAAATGCTGTTAACCCCCTATTTTGACCCCGCTGAATCCGAAAATACCGTTTATCCATAGTCGAAATTCCGACCGGAAGTGAGATATTCAAGATGGCGTCCAGAATACCCCTAAAATCAAATTATTTTCTACTTTCGGTCAGCTATACGATTGAGGTGTCGATGTCTATGTTTTCGGGGGTGTAGAATACGATGAGACACTCAAAAAATGATTTGGAGCTTTGAAAGTTCATCGAATGATCAAATTTTGACGAAATGGGCCAAAATTCCAAAGAACTTGTGAAAACGTGTTGTATAATGTACATGCTTGCATACGTTTTCGAGGGTGCTCGATACGTTTATGAGCCAAAAAAGCATTTGAACATTGTCCAAGCCTTCATTTCTTATATTTTGAAAAAAAAAGTTCACTATTAGTAGTCTTCCTCATCTTTTCTGCTCCATTCGACTCCCTGCAGCCACACTGCTTTGTGCCGCAGTGGCCGCAGAGCCCCATGCAGCCACAAGCTCCAAATTCGGGACATGACTTGGGAATAGGTAGCAAAGTCATAAAGATTGGGACTCACCAATTTTCCAGCCGCAATTAATCGGGTCTGGTGAATCAAGATACTGATCATGGGCGTTAAACCACACACTAGTACCTAAAAAGAAAACAGTGAAAAATTAAAATCCCTCGATTTTTTCTATTTTCTTTTTCTTCTTGTTAATTTTATCTGGATGTGGCACCGAAGAATGTGTTGATGGATGGCATCAGTGGTAGATGGCAAAAATCATTCGCACTGTCCCAAAAATTGCAACACGGGCTGCGTCTGCCGTTGTAATGTCCTGTCCAACTTGAAATGAAAATGATAAAATAAAACGGCTAACAGTTCTTATTCACCATGTGTCCTAGAAAAGGGACGCAACAAACCTTGTATAAAGCTGGCACCACAAACTGTTCAACTAAACGGAGATCCTCGGGGGCTATATCAGGAGTCTTTCCAAGCTGACTGAGGAGTTTACAGTAGTTTTCTTCAATGTACAGGGTGGGCAAAATTGGGCGTTTTCACCGTCTATCTCAATAACTAGAGGAGTTATCGAAAAACCGATATACATGTTCCGGGTTCGATTTCGGAGAAACCTCGAATGGCACAATCAAAATTTCGATATCTTCATTCGTTTTAGAGATACAGGGAGAAATTGAAAATTTGCCGATTTCGATTTTATTTTCTGACTACTTTACGGTGAGAGGTATCAAAAAATTTCAAACGTATATTCATACAGTATGATGCGTGGAATCCATTGGCATCATCAGAAATTTTATACAGGGTGACGTTGAAAAGATACGGCAGCCAATTATGTTTGTTCTAATGGAACACCCCGTATATTTTGGCACAGTTGAATAGTCCCAGGCGTTCTCATTACAAATATATATATATATAACCCTACCTTTTCCTTCCACAATTTCAGATATATTCGCAACAATATATTCAGTGTGTCACATTTCTTATGGTTACACCCCCGTATCTTCTGTAAAAATAATTGAGGTAGGATTCAAAAATTTGCAACTGTCAGAAAGATACAAATGATACACTCATGGAGTCATGGACCAAGTGGGATCATCTCCAATGATAACACTGCTCGCCAGCAGCTATGGAATCATCGATATTTCTGGATAATGCTATCAACAGGCAGAATCGAGGTTGAAAATGACACTCTGTATATATTCACCAAAGGTGGAAAATGAATATCATAGAGAATGTTATTTCCAGACAAATGGATATTTGGTGAGAAATAAAATGAGAAATTATTCGATTTAATATCATTGTTATCAAGACATTTGAGATACAGAAATAAGACCAATAATTTACTCAATTAGGAAATCAGTAGGTTGTAGGTTGCGTTGGAAAATATAGCCTTATAGAAGATGTCCAAATTCCAGATACAGAAGATACGGGGGTGTAACCATAAGAAATGTGACACACTGAATATATTTTTGCGAATATATATATCTGAAATTGTGGAAGGAAAAGGTGAGGTTATATATATATTTGTAATGAGAACGCCTGGGACTATTCAACTGTGCCAAAATATACGAGGTGTTCCATTAGAAAAAACATAATTGGCTGCCGTATCTTTTCAACGACACCCTGTATAAAATTTCTGATGATACCAATGGATTCCACGCATCATACTGTATTAATATACGTTTGAAATTTTATGATACCTCTCACCGTAAAGTAGTCAGAAAATAAAATCGAAATCGGCAAATTTTCAATTTCTCCCTGTATCTCTAAAACGAATGAAGATATCTAAATTTTGATTGTGCCATTCGAGGTTTCTCCAAAATCGAACCCGGAACATGTATATCGGTTTTTCGATAACTCCTCTAGTTATTGAGATAGACGGTGATAACGCCCAATTTTGCCCACCCTGTACTGCTTCCACCGTCCTGTTTTTGTGGCAGACCCCTCATCAAGATTTAGTATCACATTCGGTGATTGCGTGGAAATCCATCAGGTTTTTGATCTGTTGTGATGTGAGCTTTCTACATAGTTCATGAATTGGAATATACTTTCTATCTCGGGAAGTACCACACATCACCCAGCATTCCTTGGATTTCATTCTTTCAAAGTGATAGATGAATAATGAAATCACACTAGTGTCTTTAACAGAAACAACAACAGCCTCTCTTTCGGTTTTTACGCATGGAGTATATTCCAATTCACGAACTATGTAAGAAACTTGCACCACAACAGATAAAAAACCTGATGGCTTTCCACGCAATCACTGGATGTGATACTACATTTAAGTTAGCGTCAGTCACAAAAACAGAACGGTGGAAGCAAGTACATAGAAGAAAACTACTGTAAACTCCTCAGTCAGCTTGTAAAAACTCCCAATCTAGCCCCCGATGATCTCCGTTTGGTTGAACAGTTTGTGGTGCAAGCTTTATACAAGGTTTGTTGCGTCCCTTTTCTGAGACACATGGTGAAT